AGAGGGAGGAGGAGGAGGCAGCAGCAGAGAAGGAAGCTGCCACAGCCTGGTCATGCATTCCCCCGGGGAATGGAATAAATAAAGTCTTCAGGCACGCAGAGAACTGGAGATGTCCCTTTTGAGACATGGCACGCACTCAGGATGAGGGGAGGCACCGATTCAGCTTAGGTTGTAGAGGAAGAAATAAACTTCCCATTGATGATGAATAGTACAGGAAACACAGTGGGAAAACGTGGTTCTTTGTGGCTTCCCAGGCTCTGCAAACTCTCATCCATCAGGACCTGCCTCCGCACTGCCAGCATCCCTCTATCTCCTCTAGGCTTTGGCATAATCTAAAGTACATTTGATCGAGCAATGGAGCAAAATTAAAGCTATAAAAAATATGGTCAATTCGGGCTTCTTCACCACTAGCCGCGCAAATTGCTGAGAATAGTGGTTATTTTTGCCCACTCCAGGCAAGCATGGCCACGCTCACCCTCCACCATCTCTCTGTCCCTGCAGCCTGCAGCGCCAGCGCTCGCCGCAGCCTGAAGACCAACCTGTGCAAGTGGTGTGACTCCACGCCACCGGCCTGCGAGGAGAAAGTGTGCTACAGCAACTGCAACCTCAACTCCTACTGCGAGGACCCCTACGAGATCTGCGTGGCCATATGGTAAGTGGCAATGCCCTTGTTCAGGTGGGACACAGGGGAAAAAGGTGTTTGCTGGACAGCAACTCATGGGAACACACATGTATGTACACCTACACTTGAATTATTGCCTAATCAAATAATTCAGGAGTTTCTCTTCCTCCCTCTTTGACTCCATTGTAATTAAAACTACAATTCACAGTAAAAAAAAAAATACTTGGTCTGCCTTATTAGTACTAGTTTATTTTCTAAATAAATTAAGCATTTAAGTGCCTGACACGAAGTGTGGCAAGTTTGGCCTAGGACCTCTAAGCCCCCATAAACCCCTGAATTTAGATTTACAAGCTGAACCCAAGGGCAAAACCAGCATCCCTGACCCTCAAACCCATGAAGTCCTCCTGCATCAGGCTGGTGAAACCCTGGTTCATGTGCAGGGGTGCAGCCAATACTGTCTCCATCCAGCGCATGGACGTCTGAGCTGGTACCAAACTGGGTTTAACCCACTGGGTTTTGCTCACCTCCTTCCCATCCCCTGGGAAAAGCTCTTTTCTGCTTCTGCAGGAGATGCCTGGGGGGAAACGCAGCCTTGCCTTTCAGGCCACACATCTGCCACATCGTTTGGCCCAGAAAAGAGCCTCCCCCAGCTTTTTCGTCCCCATAAACAAAACAAAGAAACACCCATTTGGGGTCTGCCCAGAGTGATTTCCCTCCTCTTCCCCTTTTAATTTGGCTGCCAAAGCGAAAGCCAGCCAAGCACTTATCGCTAGGCTTTATCTCAACCTGCTAATTAGCATGAATGCTGTATGCTCCACTTCCAGTAGGAGTTTGCCTCAACATAATTGTTGCATTATGGACTTTAAAAGAAAACAAATCACAAACCCAACAAGAAACCCAAACAAACAAACAAACAAAATCCACCCCCTGCCCTAAATTCCCCTACCACCTTAAATCCTCAGTAGGCAATCCAGCGTCTCGCTGGGTTTTCTCATGGACAGCCTACATGTGCAGGAAAAAGCAAGACCCACGCAGCGTAAATCCCCACACCAGGGAAGCAATCCCACTGCAGAGGATGGGGCTGCACTGTGCATCGTGTATTGGATGGGGCGAGGCAGCTGTGGGGTCACAAATCGCCTGCCAGCCCCGCAACCTCCTCCCAGCATCTCCCACTCCACCCTAAGATCAAGATCCCTGCAGTCAGGGCTCACCTCCAGGCCAGCCTTGCTGCTCGTTGCTCACTTGCAGAGGCATATTTGGATCATATGAACTTGTCCTCCATGGATATCAGAGTCACAGGCTCCATGTGCTCACGTCCTCCAGTGTGCCCAGCCTGGGCAGCCCACAGAGGAGGTGCTGGAGGTTCCTCTGGCAAATTATCTGGGAACCCCAAGAAAATGCGAGGAGCACTGAAACTGTGGGACTTCATCAGTGACAGGATGACAAACCAGGGTTCTTCCCTCAGCTCTTATGGCTGATTTCCTAGCTGACCTAAGAGGCATCATGAAACCTCTCCATACCTTCACCTTTCTGCTTTGCACCACTAGGTTGGGAAGCAGGGGCTGTCCCTTGAAAAGTAACTAATGGTTGTAATTTCCTTTGAGCATCCCCAGGAGTAGCTGCAATGCTTGCCAGCTGCCCATAGGCCCTGTAGGGCCTGTCATTCCCAATCACTTGTCCTCGCCCCGGGGCTGACCTGCAAACCTAGCCAGCGCTGGGTTATCCTGCCTCCTCTGGGGAAGGCTCCAGAAACAAGGGTCAGACCCTAGCGCTCTGCTCTTAGTTCTTAATTAGGTCTTACTTACCCACTGGCTCTACAAGGCAGGTGCTGATCCTCCCCTTAGGAGAAGTGCCACATCGTGGGTTGCATTTCCTGATAGTGCTGGCAGGGCAGGAGCCACATATCCCTGGGCTGCACAGCATGCCTTGCACGCCATGCCAGCAGCCCACTCTAGCTCCAATCTGGCCCTCCAAGGGTGAGAGGCTCCATTGCAACACCAACTGCTTCCTAATCCCATTTCCAAGCTCCAGCTCCTTTCAAACACTACCATCTGCCCCACAAAATGATATTCTTGAGTCTACCTGGGCACCCCAGTTTTTGAGGATCACTTTCCTCACCCAGCTTGGTTAACAGTGGGTGGAGATGAAGCCACGGGTCCAGCAAGGACAACTCCACCATACATCAAAAGAAGAGATCTACCAGCACTGTGGATGTGCCGGTGCTGGATCCTCTAGCCAAGCTGCCTCACCAACATCGTTGACCAGTGTTGACTGAATCCACTGGGAGAGCTGAGGTTTTCCAGCAAAACAAGCACCTTGTGCTTGAGGAGTCAGATGACAACCAGAGCCAAATCCATCCTTTTGCTCTACATGTGTCACTTTTCCACGGCTTTCATGGGAGCCCAATCTAGGTGCTGTTGAGCAAAAACTGTGGCATGCGAGAAGGACATAACCTGGCTGCTGAGCATTGTTGGTTAAAAAAAGCTCTAAGGACATCGGTACTATGGAGCTAGGCCTGATGCTATGAGCCACATTTCAGTGAGTAACTGGAATTTCATTAATGAGATATTTTGGTAATAAGCCTTGAAATAGTTCACCTGTTCTCACTGTGTTTGCTGAGTGCTTGTGCACAGTTGAATGCAACGCAAGCACTGGGGTATTTCGCATCTTCACTTCAGAAAGGGAAAAATCTCTTCAGAAGTCTTCACCCTGCCACCTCTGTCTCTCACCTGATGGGAGAGATGTCTTGGTCTTCCCTGGGTGATGTTATGACCATCTCTGACACAGAGGGTGTTAGATGGACCTGAAGAAAATATCAGTGATTAAAAAAAAGGGGGGGGGAGGGAGGGAAACCCAGCAGGTCTGTCCTTTCTGTTTGAAACAATGAACAAATTCCCTAGAAGTGTCAAGAAATTACATTTTTACCTGCCTCTAAATTACCTAAATGGAAATAGGAGGCGCTAAGGTTTATTTGTATCCGCAGTGCTCCTCTGCCCCAGACACCGTGAGGACCGGGACATCACCAGGTTTCATTTGTACTTGCTCAGTGTCTTAAGCCATGGCATAAACGCAGACAGAGCCCCGTGGTCAGGGAGTTGTGTTGCCTTCACATTATAATTTGGTAGCACAAAAGGTCAAGCCATTTCTAGAAATAGCCCCGACCAGTGACTGAAGGGCTGTACTGCTGCAGGTTGCTGGAGGCAAATGGTCCTGCAATGACAGGGCGTGACAACCAGCAATTAGCCCAGAGAGAGCCTGGGGGATGCGATGGCTCTTAGCCGCCCCACCTGCACACACAGGTTGAAAGCAGCAGGAGGGAGTCAAGCAGTCACTGGTAAACAGGCATTTTGGCCCCCACATCTCCCCTGTACAAGTGAAATTTGGGCCAGCCCTTGCTGAGGCAGAGACGTTATGGCTTGTATTGCAGCAGAAGTGACGTACAAGGTGGGACCCTCATTTTGGAGGGTTCCCTTAGGATCATACAGCCCCAAACCTGCCGGCCTAGCAGCTGGTGCTAGTAAAAGAGGAATTTTGCCCCAGATCCCACACAGGGCACTCAGCCTTAGGATTGGCACTACTCAATCCAAGGCACAGTTATGAACTCTTGAATTATCTACTGGAAACAATCAGAGCTTCTGGCTCACATCTTACTTTTGGCACTTGCTAAACATTTCTCTTTTTGCTGTTTGGAGAAGACAAAAAGCTTTAACAAAGCCCCTCCAAAGCATGCGTAATTAGAACTATACCAGAGCCACTGCAAATAAGTCATTCCCTACGCACATTTGCTTAATACAAATGATCTTAAACCCAGGTTTAAGACGGCATGCAGGTGACACAAAGGCTGACCAGCAAGACTAACGCTTTGTTGGTTCTTTTGGCACATACAGGAGACAGGACAATGAGAGCATCAGGATCAGCACACTCTGCCACAACCCCCACCGCCCCATCGAAAACCTCATGGTCCCCAACTACAACACCTCGCGCTGCATCATGACCCATCAGCCCAGCGAGGATGGGATCATCTACATCTGTGGCTGCGTGGACGAGCAGGAGTGCAACGATAAACTCATCTTTGAGAACCACACCAATGGTGAGCACTTTTAGTAAATGTTATTTATGGGGGGAGAACCACCCAATGTTAATGACCACCTGTATTTCCAACAGAGTAGGAGATGTGGTGCCAGAAGGAGCTCTTTCACAATTTTCTTTGACCCCCCTTATAAAAGCTAGGTAAAATTTTTACCCCGTTACTGAGCCCAGTATTTTTGATGTGGCTAAACCATCCCTTGCAGCAATGCCTCCAACCTTGGTCTGGAAACATCAGGTGATGGAAAATCCACCCTATCTCTCGGTAGGCTCTGCCTTTCAGTCCAAGGCAAATCAACTGGGGAACCTGAAACCTGACGCAGCCCAGAGTGAGTCAATGCTCTGAAAGCTTTAAATAATCCTGTTGGAGCAAACCCTGCCCGGCACACCCAAGGGAACTGCTGGCGTCCACCATGGCTGCAACCCAAAAAGGTGGCCAGCACCACCGCGGTGCTGCACACACACATGAGCATGGCCTGGCACACCCGTAGATGCTTTTGCAGATGGGCTGGGGATCCAACAGGAGCTGTAAATCCACAGGAGGGAAAACTAAGAGGCAGTTAGTTTCTTTACCTTAGGAGGGTCGTATACTTTGGAAATGCTTCCAGCAAGATCCTGAGCCTGTGGGGGCTTGTCCAAACCTCCTTAACTCCAAATGGATGAGGTTTATCCAAGTGCTCATCAAGAATCTGACCTGTAATAAAAGCAAAGTGAAACCCCTCCAATTTTCCATAATTACAGAACAACGAGATGCTGAAACTGAGCCTAAGCAGACCCTGCAAGTCCGCAGCATAGCTTGTCCTGCAACGCAAGGGAAAAAGTAAAAATCACATAAAATGCAAATTCTCAGAACAAACAAGCCATTTTTAATGCAGGCAAATGATGCTAAATTTGGCAGTTCTTTGCTGCTTCCTGAGCCAAACATAACAGGTACACACACTTCTGTGGAGAGATAGTCAAATCCCGGGGCTGATGCTGGGATATGTAATTTCACACAAAAATGCCACCCCCTCCAAAGGCTTCCACAAACAGCCACCTCCTGCCAGCCAGCACGCAAAGTGCTGCGAGAGCAGCGCGGGCCTTAAACCATTATCTCCTCTTGGTGTGGTTTGTGGGGCCAGCTTGGCAAGCCCCATGCTCAGAGACCCCAGTGTTTATATCCTTTTCGTCTGCTTTAAGGGATGGTTTGCATTTTAAATATTAACTTAGGGTCATCTTCAATGGTATAGACGACTGCTGAGCAGAGAAATACCTAATACAGATGAGCACTTCTCTGGCAGCTGAAGCAGGTAGATTGTTTTCCCATTTCTCTATTTCTTAAGCCCTCCTTCCAGGTTTGGGCTGCTGGGTGGCTCTGCCCTAGCACCAGGGCTCAGGGGACCCCACCAGAACTTAGAGACCATCCTAATGAGCATGCCAAGGCACTATTTCCTAAAGCCGTGCAAGCAGAAGCCTGGTGGACGCCTTGGGAAGATGATGGGTAGGGTTGAGCACACAGAATCCCTTGCAGCAACTCAGCCTGGGTCCATCTCCCCTCAGCAGGGATGGAAAAACCCATGCAGCAGTGCTCAACAAGGTGTGGGTTTCTAGACCCGTAGTTATCACCAGAACAGCTATATTTGCTCTCTGTGAAAGGGGTCAAGCCATGCTGCAACCCCTCCATATCAAAAGGCTTGCATCAGGAAGGAGCATCCTCACGAAGGAATTTGCTGAAGTTGTGTTAACTTCCCGTTTTCAGGACTCATGCACGCAACTCTCTTAAAAACATCTCCTCTTTCTTTAGAGTTTCAAAGATGGGATCTTAAGCATCGGGTAAATCCATTGAAGCAGTAGGTGATATCCAGGCATAACACTTTCCAAGATAAACATATTCCCGAGTTAGTTATTGATTTATATCAGTTTAGGGTGATCTTGTGGTTTAAACCTGATGCCTGTTTTAGAAACGCTTTCACAGCCTTGCAGAAATTAGCTGTAGCACATTTTTTTGAAATTTGCCAAGGAAAATAGCAAAATGCTCTGTTTTTCCAGAACCTGAATTATGATCTGCACACACTGAGGTCAAGCAGCGAGAGTTTTGCTTATGGAATGATTCTTATCCCTCTTCCCCTGGGTTATTATACTTGGCAGAAAAACCTCTGACTAAGATTTTACTTGAATATCTCTACTGAAGTCAGCATGTTTATTCCAGGAATCGCGAACATCAAAAGACTGAACAATTATATGTTGTGTGAGGGTTATGGCTTTGTGTGTGCGTGTCTGTCCGTCCCCATCCCCCCCTCCCCTGCAATGATCTGAAGGCTGACAGGGGTTTAAAAGAAATGAAACAAAAGCAGCCATGCCGGGTCGGTTCACAGGGGTTGGTGTTGTAATTTGGCAAGGAAGGAGATGCCAACACTGGCAGACAGCACTGCAATGATGCTCCTTAAGGTCCTTTCCAACCCTAACTATTCTATGAGTCTATGAAAGCACCCCATGTTGCCCTGGCCTTGGTGGTCCTGCACGCTGCCCAGGCCCCAGCGTTCCCCCTGGCTCTCTGTGCACCACAGGTGTCCAGCAAGGCTCCAGCCCCAAACTTCTCATAGATTTGCTCTGTTTGAGCCTTCCTTCAGCTTTATCACTTTTATTGCTGCCCCAGCTCCCCTCAGTCTGAGCACAAGCATCATTTGGGAGCCACCAAAAGGCAACCAAGCCATTTTGACGGTAGCAGCAGGGTCTCACATGCTGCATTGCCCAACCAAAGCAATGCTGGCCTGCATCCCGCCCTTCACTTGATAAACAGAGCTAAATTTGCAACCTAACTGCCTGCAGCTGGGTTCTTTGCCAGGATGGGGTTTGTGTGCAGCGTGCATTGTGGCCCTGCAAAGGGCTGCGCTTCAGTAACGGCTTCACGTATTTTCCTCCTCCACATGATGAAAATGAGTCGTTGCAGACCCACGGTGGCAGCGTCCTCACCTTTGCTCTCCCCCTCCCCGCAGGCTACTCCATGCTGCAGAGCAAAGAGGTGATCCCGGTGGCTGCCATCAGCCTCCTGCCCCC